GTTTGGTCCTCCGGGCCGCCCCCCCCCCCCCCCCGCCCCCTCCCGCTATGACTCTGAGACCCCACTGTCCTACGTGTATTTCGCTCAGACATTGTGAGGAAACTCACCGACTCCGGGGGTCTGACTCCAGTCACGGGTGAGTAGATGACCTTGTATTGCTGGACTGGTCCAGTTGCAGCCTCCCAGCGAACATTGAGGGTGTTGGTAGTGGGGTTGAAAACTTGGATGTTCCTCACAGGACTGCGCTCCACTACCAGGCAAAAAAAAAAGAAAAAACAGAAGAGACATTTAGAGGAAATGGTGGACGGATAAAGACGAGACAGGTTCATCATGTAGAACTTCTTTATTCATGTTTAAGTTCTTGTTTTCTTGTTGTCCTCGTCCTGCGTCAACCACCTACTGTAAAACATGTGACTGGTCCAATAAACTAAGAACGATTCTCCCGACAGACCAGTTTAGAGCGTTATTTAACAATATAGCTAACAACGTGACACTTCCTCTTGGTGCCCTCAAGGTTCATGAAAAGAGTATACGAGGTTCACGTGTAGACTGGTCTCCGGAGACTCTGAAGAACATGTTTAGAGGCTTTGTGCCATTCCCTGTTATAAACTCATAAATGCAGCGGAAAAACACAGTGGGCAAAACACAAGCCAGCTTCCATACTTTAAAGGTTTCACAGAGCGAAGTCTGTTGCCCAGGAAGCTGCTTTAAAACCAGAGGCACATTTAACAGCAACCGTCGGCCTGTCACGTAGTGACTCACGCTCCTCGCGTCTTTGGTTTCGCTGATGTATGATAAGAAAAACTAAAAGGCTCTGGGCTGAAGTCGCCAGTGTATAACAGAGTTAGGAAATACATATCAGAGCGATCACATTCACTGTCCATCCTGTGAGTTGGTCAAACCTCTGAAGCCAGGCCAATAAACATGAGGGACGATCTCCACAGAAGGAAAAATAAAGGTAACGGTAGCAGACGTGGAGCGTGACCTTCGCCAGTTCAGCTGAGAGCCATAAAACGTATAATGCTCTCCATTCATTTGTAACCCCCCCCCCAACTCACCAACCTTTGCTTCTTTTTCCCCAAAGGGAAGCCAATTACTCAACATGTCCCCTCCCCCACTCACCAGCTCCTCCATTATCCTGACCACTACACTCCATTCCAACCTATAAATGGACAACATTACGGTAAAAGCAGAGGAGACACTATTATATCGCCGCCAACCCCGGAGAATTCCTTCCTATGCAATCAACCCGCGAAATGCTGACTCATTCCCAACGGAGGTTGGCAGTTTGGCATTGTGGGAAAAAGCGGAAAAATGACTTCTTTTCATGGGAGTTCAACGTTAGCTGACGGAGCCTAATACTGTACGAGGTATGGGTTACAGTCGGCGGTGGGGGCATCTGATGAGTTTGGCTTGGCTCGCCCGCTCGAGATGATATTGTGAAATAAATCAGACGTGACTCATAACCTCATTGAAGGTTTCTGACACAGCAACAGTGAGGCAGAGGCAGAGGCCGGTAAGTTCATCCTGGACAGACATGAATAGATTTTGAATGTGGGAAAAAAAAACCCACGGCCAAGTCTACGTGGTCTATTCTGAGCCCTGAGAATCTGTCATCACTGGATCTAATCTTTCCAGGATGCTTGGCCAGTACCTACAGCAGGGAGTGGATGACATGACATGCAGGGCTTACATGTTTTGCCATTCTCAGATAGACGTTGTCCCTCGCCGGCCGTGTACACAGGAGCCACAGTGACTATGTAGACGGTGTCGGAGTCAAGGTTCCGCAGCACCGTGTTGTGGGTGTTGCCTGATACCTGCACCTGGACGGAGAAACACCAGAGGAAGAACAATAGAGTCAGCCCGCGTCAGAACCGCTATGGGTAATGACCCGCCGTTCTCAGTCCTACCATCTCCTCCTTTCCTCCACGTGCAGGAACATAGGAGATCCTATACTGGCGAACGTTTCCCTCGGCGGGCTCCCAGTGGACATCAAGGGTACTGGTGGTGGGGTTGGTCACCCTCAGGTTCCTGACGCCGCCCAGGGGTTCTTAAATAGAAGACGGTTACAGAAACATTATCAGAGGACCCTTGACATGAGCTTGGGAGAACCTTAAGTCAACGACGACTCACTGGTTTTTCCGAGGCCGTTCAGCTCGCCGCTGACTCCCCGGGCGTAGACGGCCACCACAGAGATGGAGTACTCAGTGTCAGGGGTCAGCTTTGGAAGCAACACCGTGGTCTTTTTGCCTCCAACCTGAGTCTAGTCACAGATCACATTTTATTGAGAATAAGAAACACAAGAAAGAAAACCTTGTCTCGTCACAGATCACATTTTATTGAGAATAACAAACACAAGAAAGGTTTAACCATGAGCCTAAACCACATATGCTAAACGCAAGGCCTGCGGGCCGAATCTGGCCCACCAAAGCTTAACATGCATTTGGTCATTTTAAATAAAACTCCGTAGTCCGTACTAACGTTAACTGGATTGTTTAAACGCAGTGGTCACCTTCTGTGTATAACACATGTACGGCCTTTTTTAATTTGTTTTATTGAGGAGAAAATTGTTGCAGTTTGTTCAAATTCAATATTCCTGGTCAGAGCATTCTCTGGAATAACTGTTGATCTCTACGTAGACTGTGTTTTAATTTCCGGATCGTTGGGTGATTGAGTTTGACGCCTCCTCCGTTATAGTTGATAGTTAAGGGGCCTAGCAAAAGTACAGTACAGCGAAGATTCCCTGTGCTTTTCACAAAATAATGAAAAAAAAAAAACTGAACCATTCTCCACATGTTCCTGTGATTGATGGTATTGACTTGATGGAAAAAGTTCTACCTGAAATCTACTGGGCCGTCAGGAATGTTTTTGAATGTTTCTGGACAGGGCTTTTTACACAGCCCCGAGGCCAAGGTAAACCTGTAGGCTGATAGCTGAAACAGGCGGATGTCTTTTCATTAGGAGTCACGACTGATGATGAATTTACAACATCGCTTCTGGCTAAAATGATCAGGAGCACAGATAAAATCCTAAGCCTGGGGTTTGTCTGAGGATTTGTGCAAAGGTTTGTCCTGACAGCTGTCTCATCGACCCGTTCTCTATACAGATAAAAAACCAAAAAAACAACCAAGATTGACAAACAGAACAAACATTTTCTGAAAGAAAAAGTGTTGATCCAAACACTCTGGGCTCACAGCTCTGGTTGAAATGTTGAATGTCAACCATGAAAGATTGGCCTGAAGTGGCTTTTCATCTTCCAGCTTTCCATCAACGCTTCACTGTGATATCATCTGTGCAATCAACACAGCTACAACTTATCAACATCTGATGGAGAAATCTTTCCATCCCGTGTTTAAAAAAACGCAGCAGCAGCAGCGAGGCTGAGGTGAATAATTTACAGAACCGAAGACTGGAGACACGAATAAAAACATGTGCCTGAAGAAACAGACGGTAGGATTTATTGTGAAGTAGCAATAAAGTTGCTTATTCCAACAATCTGTACGTGGTACGTCTGTCACGTACTACTACTGTAGTCGAGTCTTTTTTAATACTTGAGATTGCTGATTTCTCAGTTTAAAGTCTAGTTATAAATCAGTTCAGTGACGAATTGACTCAGCATCGCACAGATGTTTACTCTGGGTAAAACCTCTGTCAACATGGTGGATGTACGCAGACTACTGCATAACATCGTGGACGCCAACTGCAGCAAAAGAGTACATGATGTGTCCTAGTATCTTTTAAATACTCAGGTATTGCAGTAGTCTCCCTTTAGGGGTGTGTATTGGCAGGAATCTGGTGATAGGATACGTATTGCGATACTATAAGCACGACAATATATTAGTCCAAGTGTGATCCTAGACTCAGACTCTGTTCCATCTGAACATCAGTTCCTAACTCTGGAACAGAGGGATCTACATTTGGAATCACTAGAGAAGAAAGAAAAGAAAAAGAAACTGAACCAACACCAGGAATATTGGACTGGGAATTGGTGAGAAAAAATCAATAACTGATCAATGACTGAGGAGATTGATACGGTATCGATATTTTCTTTCTCCCATTATTATAACTACTTTAATACCTGCATGCATTTTACATAATAGACTCATTTCAAACACAGTAGCTCTAATATAATGTAATGGCATTTTAGCAACAGCTACAGTTGCTTTGTATGTCGTCATCACAGTCGTCAGTGATGGTCAGATCAGCAGAGCAATAAGATTATTTCTACTTACAGAGTTGGTAATATAACATACTGTATATGAGAGTGGAGATTTGCTCAGTGACGCTAACAATTCTAAAATTTATTTGCTTGGAATATTATTTTAAGACTAGCAATAAAAGTTTATGTGAAACTCAGTTCTGATAAATGTTCACTGTCTAAACATAAAGCTTCTAAATGATCAGGCATTTAAAGTTTTATCTGTGGAATCATCTCTTCCTAAGTCACACACACAGGAGAGAAACACTGTCTGCCAGAGTTGGCCGCAGCGCAGACCGGTTCAGATTTCAGAATGCAGGTCACGGCTGCGGACGTCAGTCTGTAGCTTTTTGAGCCGCGATTTTGGAGGAAATGAGAAATGTCTGACAGTAAATTAAAACCAAAAATTCAACTGTCATCCAAAAGGACTTTAACTTTTTGAGAAAGGGCTGCCAAAAAAATGCCTGACCAGAAATTCTGCAGAGTGGGGGAAATATTTAGAAAGCGGAGGGAAGAGTTTCGACCACATCATTGCCACTATTTCCAGAGAAGAGTTAAAGAGGTTTGATTTAGGCTAAAATAAATACGCCTGACAGATGTTTAGCTACGTACAGGGCATGTGTTTGTCTTTTGAAGGCAAATCTGCGCGAAAGAACGAACTTCTGACTAAATAACAACGATTTGTCTGGCCAAGGTATGCTAGACTGAAGTCCAGTCACGTACGAGGCAAAGAAGAATTTCAAAAATGACTGAAACTCAGCAGTGGAAACTTCTGTCTTCGTAGCTTCAGTACATTTCGCCCCTCTCTGTTCTTTAGTTTTTACCACCGACCGTCTGTCTCTCAGTGAGTTGTGTGACTTACTGTCTGGCTCCTGCCTCCAGATGTGGGCACATAAGTGATCCTGTAGTTCTGGACACGGCCTGAAGCTGGATTCCACCTGGCGTTCAGCGTGGTGGTGGTCTCGTTGAACACAACCAAGTCAGTAGGAGCAGCATTGGGCACTGGGATATGCACGCAAACACATACCACACTATTACCAAAACATGTAACATGCTGACATGTTTATCTGCTGTGTTTGGTGGAAAAAAAAACACACTCTCCTCACGGATTTACTTGCAAAATGTCTTTTAAAGACATTGTCCTTGATATTCTGGTCGACCTGCGTCAACTTGTCTGCAATTGTTCTTCATTCATTTTCGATGGTGGGTAGTAATGAGTTTCATTTACTCTATTACATTTACTTGAGTAAGTTTTTCAAAACAAAATACTTCTAGGAGTAGTTTTAAATCACTGTACTTTTTACTTTTACTTGAGTAGCTCTATGAAGAGGAAACAGTACTCACTTTTTATGTACTCATTACTGATTAATTGATTGAAGTACTTGAACCTAAAGATCATTTTAAGGTATTTAAGGATAAGATAAACTCTCCTCTTTGTAATTTTTCTCAGCTGATTAAATGCTCATTACAAAATAAATCAGATGTTACTCAAGTTATTCAGTACTTGAGTAGTTTTTTTTCACTACTTTTTTACTCTTACTCAAGTAATTATTTGGATGACTACTTTTTACTTCTACTTGAGTAAAATTATTCTGAAGTAACAGTACTTTTACTTGAGTACAATTTTTGGCGACTCTACCCACCTCTGGTCATTTTACATCTTCAGGTCTATTTTAACGGTCAAATAAATCAAGGACTGTCGCTTTAAAAGCGAAAAGACAAACCACAGCTGGGATGTTGTCTTTTCTGAAGCAGGAGCATCCAGCCATGGATGGATGAATGGATGGATGGACTGATAAGTGCATGGATGAATGAGATGAGCAGATGGATGGATGAATGATGGATGATGAGTGATGGGATGGGCTACAAAAACAGAAACTTCAACCTCTGTTTTGTAGGTCATGCACTGTTGGAATCCACAGGTTGATGTCGATTCAAGAGGAGCATAAAAACACACAGCCATGGATGGAATGATGTCACAGACACATACTGCAGTACGACTACAATGTGTCCCGGGTGTTGGGAGCGGTCGATGGGTTAAAGGCTGCGCTAAATGACGTGGGGATGGTTGTCCGTCGGACAGTAGTACTGATGACCAAATGAATGGATGACACATGGATGATGGACATGCTTTCAACGCTTTACCGCTTGTATACTTACGTCTGCTATCAGGTTGCCTGGGCACTACAGAGGCAGAAATACGTAAAAATTGCCATATTTTTCACAGCTTCATGAGGGTATATTTTCAAAAGGTCAAAAAAATTCTGTCAAGACTGAGCTAACGTAACAATGTTGTGGGTGTCATCCCAGATCAGTGAGTGATCTTACGTGTTCTCTCGTTGCCCATCAGATCCTCGCTCTCTGATTCATCTGGATAAATGGCGGTGACGGTCACGTCGTAAGGCGTGTCCGGCTCCAGGTCCACCAGGACGTTTGTGGTCTCGTCGTTGTTAAGAATGGCCTAATGAGAGAAAGGCAAACAGAGCATGGATGATGAGCTGCTTCTTTTTTTCTTTTTTTTCATCCATTCAAGTCAAAATCCATATTAGAGCGATTATCATTGGCTCGGTGCGGACGTCTTGTTTTGATCAGACGTTCTGGAGGCCTCTTCCAATGAATTGCCTTAAAGTCTTCTGTGGGATTCATCAGGAAATACCTGTATGATTTATTGGAAGTGCAAAAATCTAATAGCAGCTGGTTTTCTCTTACATATTGGAAAGAATTCTCTCCCCTCTTGCTCCATCCAATGCGGTACAGCGCAACATCAGGGGCTCCGTGGTCCCAGGTTGCCCTGAAGCTCGTCTGGGTAATTTCAGAGAACCGCAAGTTCTTTGGTGCAGGAACCACATCTACAGAGAGGGGAGAAGGCCGAGTCATTGGATGTTGTCAGGATGATAACTTAATCCCAGTCCACCCTGGGAATTTCCTCTCACCGGTAACAGCATCTGCCAGCATGGTTTGTCCGCGTCCCTCGTCATAGACCGGAGTGACGGACAGAGCGTACTCCGTCTGTGAAATTAGGTTCTGCAGCTGCGTGGTGGTCACGTCGCCTCTGACTTCCAGCTGGAACACAGTTAGAGCATTTGTTAAAGCAGTGATACGAGTGGACAGGGCTTTAATATGTGTGTGATAACTGAATTAACTCCATATGTTTTGATTCCTGGCATGTGTTTCCTGGAAAATTAGAGACACTGATAATATCCGGCTTGTTAGAAACATGACTAGGAGGTATAAATCTGGGCTTCATTTATGCTAAACTGGGAACAAATAAGACGAGGTTAAAGTGAAGAGTGAAGACCAGAAATGCTCACAGGAAATACCGCAGTGTATTTATTTCATTTCATTAAATTTTATCATCTAAACCTCAGCAAATGTCACTTATGGGAGTCGTTCTCATTACCTGTTAACAGCTGTTGTTTGTCTGAGTGTTTTGTATTTAAGCTTCAGTAAAAAGTTTTATAACGTTCTGCTACTCCTACCACTTAACACGCACTGACTATTACTGCCATCTGTTTTAGAAAAATAAAAAACCGTTTTCTGCTGCGGTACGACTTAGTAGTATCACCATAACCAACCCTGAGAAAACTACATTATGACAGAATCTTAATATTTCCACTGGACCGAAGAGTGACCGTTCAACCAGTTGCAGGATTTATCATCTGGACAGAGCTGTGTTTTTTTTTCTCCTACTTTCATTAACAACAGTTTTAGTATTGAAATGTTTGGAAAGTTCTTCGTAGTACTGAAACTACACGCACCTGTTTCACATCTCCATCCTCGGACTTGTAGGTCACAATGTACTGGCGAACGGGACCTGGAGCGGCGTCCCAGTAAAGCCACATGGTGCTGTGGGTAACATCGCGGACCTTCAGTTCACCTAGTGGTGGCATAGGCACTGCGATAAAAAAAATATAGAGGGTCATGGTTAGTTAATTCTTAAAAATAGAGGGTCATGGTTAGTTAATTGGAACTAAAATCCTGTCTTGATGGCAACAACGTTGTAGTATTAGTTGTTGCTTCTGCAGTACTAGTTAATGTAGTAGCAGTAGTAGTGTTGTAGTAATAGCTGTAGAAGGTAACGGATAAGTGGATGAAAATGGATGGATGGATGGATGGTTAGTTAATTGGAAGTAAAATCATGTCTTGATGGCAACAACTGTAGTATTAGTTGTTGCTTCTGCAGTACTAGTTAATGTAGTAGCAGTATAAACTACCAGTAGTAGTGATGTAGTAATAGCTGTAGCAGAATGGTTGTGGTCGCAGCAGTACTTTAGAAATCCATTATTTCCATTACCCATTATAAACAATAGGAAGTATTGCTAAAAATAGTATTGCAGTATCATAGTATTTACTGTTATGAGTGGTCAACATTTGGCAGTAGTTGGTTGCAGTAGTTAAATTATTGAAGTAGTAAAGAGGTAGCAGTAGTAGTGCTAGTATAGTACATAATTGTGGTTGAAGTAACCACTTAAAGTTGTGGTGGTAGTAGTAGTAACAGTAGTAGTAGTAGTAGTAGTGGTGGTGGTGGTGGTGAGTACATACGGGTGACTCCCCTCTTGGTGAGTGGTTCACTGGCTGATTCTCCATGTAGGGCGAACAGGGACAGAGAGTACTCCGTGTTGGGGAGCAGCTTCACCAGCTGGACATCAGTCGTGTCTCCTCTCACTCTGAGCTACAGGAGACCAAACAAAAAAAAAAACAAACAACAACACCAGGTCAGAGGTCAAGTGGACAACCGGACCTGCTCTCCGACAGTCGTAGAAACATTTGGATAAGAAGGTGGAGACAGATGTGTTGTTGCGACACATCTGCGGAACCTGAGTTTGAGTCACTGGCTATGACGCATATGGATGTCCCTTTGGCAGAGTGAGATCATGGATAACTCTGTCTTTGTGGAGGCAACAATGTTCCACTGTATTTTGCTTTTCTGCCCTGTCTGCAGAACGGCTGAAACAAACACTGGCAGCTTTGTAATATTTCACTTCAGTGTGTGACATCTGTGTTGTGTCAGAAACTGCTGACTGCAGGTTTTCTCTGGTCACTTTGTAGTGTTTACCCGAGTTCCTTTGGAAGCGTGCGCTTGTTTTCTCCAGCCGTAAACAAACATGCGTGTGAGACGTCGTACCTTCACGCACTCGCACCGCGTGCACGTTGCGTTCGGTGAAGTCTCTTACCTCCTGCTCGACGGAGGGCTCGGTGGCGTTGATGGCGCTGTAGAGCAGCATGTAGCCGGTGGCTCCTTGCGCCTCCTCCCATCGAACACGCATGGTAGTGACCTGCTCGTCGTAGATATCCATCCTCCTCACGGCGCTCAGGGGCACTGGAGAACCAGGAAGTTAAATTAGGATTAAATTAGCAAATTCATCTTCGTACCATAACATCCCTGCCTACCTTCAAGTCCCAGCTCAAAAGACTAGCACACTAACTTTGTTTTACTGTGATCTGTATCAAGTGTTCATGTCACAGACATTCTGGTTGATTGGCCGGTTCTTTTTAGCTTGATTTCCTCTAGAGAAGACCTGGGTAAACTATGGTCCGAGGGCCAGATATGGCCCGCTGGGCTTTCTATCCGGTCGGCGAAACACCGGTACAACGTATTGCACAGACTGTCAATACAGGCGGCAGACATGAAATGTGCCAAATTTTCTTTATAGATTATTATTATTTGGTCCAGGATTCTACGACCAACAAATACTGAACTTATCTGCCAGTCAAATCTTTAACCTCCTTGGTCAGCTTGTTCACCTCTGGTCTGGATATTAAGAGTTGGTCAACCCTTCACACACACGTTCGTATCTCTGCTATAATTTAGGCCAAGCATGGGGAAAACTACGGCCCGGGGGCCGGATGTGGCCCGCTTGGCTTTTTATTCTGGCCTGCAAAACTTATCCAAATAAAAAGTCCTGTAAAATTCTAGAACCTATTTTAGCCCGCGAGTGAAAAAGTTTGCCCACACCTGATTTAGGCTGAACAATAAACCCCATCCCCCCATGGGCAGGAGAATACCTGTGCACGCTGAGCCTTAAACCACTGTCCCACTGTGTGGCCCACCAGTAACAACATGCAAAAGAGACCAGGGTAAATTAAATTAGACTAAAACCTCAGTGTAATTTCGTGAAGTGCCCAGGGTAAATTAAATTAGACTAAAACCTGATGTGTAATTTCGTGAAGTGCCTCAAAATCTAATTAGGATTTACTGCCTCCGACACCTGGGACTGTAAAAACATGACACAGAGAATACGCCTCCGACACCTGGGACTGTAAAAACACGACGATGACAGAGAGAATAGTGAGGTAGTATAAAGTGAATTAAAAATTATTAAGAAAAAACAAAACAACAGTGATTGCAGTCACTGAGGGCATGTGCTGTGTTGTGTAACTGCAGACAGAGAGATTCAGTGATTCATGGTGGTTTCAGACTCAAGAGTTAGGACCGCAGCTAAGGCTCTTTGAGTGTTTCCCAAATGGTGGGTCATGATCTAAAAAAGGGGTCAATGGGCTACATACTGCACGGTAGGTGACTACTGTTTAGTAGACGTGGGTAAAGCACTGGTCCTCTAATGGACAAAAATCTTGTCTTAACCCCAAACCTCAGAGTGAAAGGACGTACGTGTGGTCTCAGTTCCCCTGAGAGGCTCACTGCTCTCTCCTCCCGTCACAGCGTAGACATTGACCATGTACTGGGTCAGTGGGTTGAGCTTCTGCAGGACAACTGTGGTCTGAGAACCATCAACAAGCACCTGAGGACAAAACAAAGGTTGGGATTCATTTGAGGATTTGTCCAATTTTATATCATTTCTTTTGACACACGATAATTAAATTTGGCAGAGACTTTAAGTTCAGAAAATCACTTCAGCTCATTAAACACATACAAAACCTCGCCTTCTCTCTGCACCATTTAATAACCAGCTGGAGCTGATATAATTATACTAATGACTTTTAATTGAAAATTGCGATCAGATTTAACAAATTACCGACAAAATACCCAGCGATAAAAATACTTCTGACAGGATTTTTCAAGTTTAAGTCGACTGTTTTTCACGTCCTTCAGTTACGACATTTCTTCTACCTGTTGTGGTTGGCCAGACACCGTCATGTACTCCACGCGGTATTGCTCCACAGGGCCTTCGGGAGCAGTCCAGGTGGCTCTGAATGAGTGGTGGGTCACATCAGATGTAACCAGGTTGGTGGGGGCATCAGGTGCGCCTCCTGTTGAAAGAAGTGTAGAAAACTGAAGACCACAATGGAAAAGATTCAATCATCCAATCGTGGAAAAATGTTTATAAAAGGTGAAGACCACAATGGAAAAGATTCAATCGTGGAAAAATGTTTATAAAAGAGAATTCTGTTTCCACAGGGGTAATTAACGTCCAATTAATGTCCATTCCAAGATTTCCGAAATAGCAACTTTTTCTAATATGATCAAGAAGAAGAACATTTTTATATTCAATAAAGCAGAAGGAATGGTATACATTGTGAAGGAAAAAAATAAAAGTTCTGACTGAAACTAGTTCTTTTGGATGTTTGGCAGGACGTTGAACTTTCTGTGGGTCTAAGATGTTCAACTGTTTTTTATTTATACTCCTCAAAATATCTCGGGGGCTAGAAACTAGGCACAACATTGAATGTGTTGTACACAGATGCTGCGTAAACGTATATTACCTGCTCCTTTGACACTGTTGCAAAGGTTGTCGGTGAGTCTGTCCACGATGTCGAACAGGAACGAGAAATCGGCCACGTTGTACATGTGAATGTCATCGGGGTCTGAGGCGATGGACCGCAGCTCGTTCTCATCAGCGTTCTTCACACCTGTGTGGGTCGACACTCGTCAGCAGATTTAACACTTTTTTATTGTTGTTTGAACAGAGCGAGAGTAAATCAGCGTTCCGTACCGACGGCGTACAACTCGATGCCCTGGTCGCGCAGACTCTGAGAGTTGACGTTGACGTCGTCCTGGGATTTGCCGTCAGTGATCAACACACCGATCTTCAGCGCTTTGGGTCGCATCCCCACGTTCTCTTTAAAGTTGTTTTGAAGGATGTAGTTCAAAGCCAAGCCTGCGATGACAGAAACGTAGATTACTCCTCGTTTTCCCTTTCGTAGAATCCTACTTGTTCTGAGTGGAGCAAAGGTAGAAAATCAATTGCAAACATATTCAGATTGAAAGAGATTTTAGTACCAGTCAAAGTGTTTCCTCCTTTGTAGGGCAGGTTGGCCACAGCATCCAGCAGCGATTCCCTGGTTTTATGGGCATCCAAGTGCCATTCAGTCTTGGGATCCCCACTGTACTGGGCAAGGCCTGTGGAGTCAGACTTGGTTAGACAACCTCGAAAACGCTTTTTGTCTTTCGTTTTATTGGTTAAAAAGAAACAGTAAACCAAGAACCAACCAATCTGGACCCTTTCTGGACCAATTTCGAAGACTCCCACCATACGGGCGATGAAGGCGCGAATGGTCTTGAAGTTCAGACGTCCGATACTCCATGAACCGTCCACCAGCAGAACGATGTCTGCCTGTGAAGTGGTCCTACAGGTCACATCTGAGAGGACATACGGTCGGGTGTCACAAGGCGATAAAGATAAATGAAATGGAGTCGAACCTCCGTTTTCGCAAAGTAAAAAGTGTGTTGTGAGGTGGTAAATGAAATGGAGTCGAACCTCCGTTTACGCAAAGTAAAAAGTGTGTTGTGAATTAAAGGTGACGGTAGACGGGGTGCAAAAGAAAAGAGGGAAAGAAAGGTTTGTGGTCCTTTTAGAGGAGAAAAAAAAACATCAAAACCATTTTTCACAACCCAGTACAACATTCACAGTTCAGCAGTAAAGCATTGTGGTCCAGGCTTCTTGTCAGGTGTTACAACTGTTATCTTCATGTCTTGTGGCTTGTTCAGGCAGTATATCTCTCTTGTTGTTTTTGTTGGATCCCAGAGGGCAAATCGGGAGAATCTGTCTGAGGAGGCCCGTGACATATCAAAGGTCTCCGCAAATCTCGTTTTCCCACACAGCTGTGTGATGACAAGGAAGGCATCTCATCCTCGGCACCTAAGTGAGGGCTGCAGATGTGCAACAGCAGATGGGCAGATGTTGCACTAACTACCACTGTCTGCAACTGAGAACAGGTTATGTATTTGATTTACAGATACAGAGAGAGAGAGAGAGAGAGAGAGAGTACAAGACCGATCTCCAGTGCAGGACTTATTCAAGTACCTCAGATAAAAGGAGAGAGAGAGAGAGAGAGAGAGAGAGAGACAAAGTGACACATACACATTTTTACATAACACTATACCAAGTCATATGCAAGTATATTTGGGCTGTAAAGATTAACAAAGTATTTGAATTAATTAATTTGTGAAGATTAATCACGTAAATTTTTTTATCACATTTTAAAGCATGGGCAAAATGGCACACAGTCTATATCTAACTTGTTGTTACTTAAACACACTGCGGGAGCACCACGTATTTGTGGAGGCTTCAACTTTGGATTGGCTAGATCTCTCTGCTGATATTAGGCGTTCTGTTCCAGAAATTTATGGCTGGAAAATAAGTTTCTGTTAATATTTAGGAATGTGAAATTACAATCATGATTAATTGGGATGAATCCCCAGGTTTTCTGCGATTAATCAGACTTAAAATTGAATCAACCGCCATCCCTAAAATATGAAAACTCAAGTTGAATAAATGTGTTTTGGTTCAGCATTACTGCTGGAACTGGTCCTGCATCTCAGCGGTCAACTCGACCTCTGCAGATCCTCCTGGCAGTCACAACAACTTTCCTGCTCTCACACTCACTGCCCATCTTGCTCTGATTCACAAGATAGTAAAACATTTTATTACTGCAAACAGCTCACAGGTGAATGCTCTGGTTTCGTCCGAGACTGGAAATAACGGCGGACGTCCAAGGTGACATAACAAATACGTGCCACAGGGGCAGATGGAACTACCATTTCATCAATGACTCAGTGAGAAAATAACTAATATCCTCCTTAAATGAGCCATGGTTATGCAATCGTTCTTGTTTTTCTAGGCACAGATTAACAATATCATAATCACCAAGGATGCTGCCCTAAGACCAGTGGTTATGGTGAATCATGGCTATAAACACCAGTAAAGTTGTTCTCTTAGAGGTTAATTATTACTTGTTAAATTTTACTACACAAAAAAAAATTATAACTTTACCAGTTGGCGGCAAATATGAAGTGTCAGGGTCATCTTTAAGTGTGGTTTTCTCCTCTCCAGCCAATGGCACACTCTCTCCTCCATCAAACATGCCAAACACATTCACTGAGTATTTGGTGTCAGATCTGGGGACCAAATCAGCCGTTGGTTGGTGAGTATTTTCTTAATATCATTTGGGTGAAAACAATGGGAAAAAAAATAAAAACCCACCTGAGCTCCTCTAAGACCACAGTATTGTCATAGGGACCAACCAAAAGTTCTCCCAGGTCAATGTCATTCTCTGCAGGGTGGAAGGTGACCTTGTATCCCCTAACCTCACCAGGGGCGGGGTCCCAGGTTACACGGAAACTAGTCCTGGTGGGCTCAGAGGTTTGCAGGTTTCTAGGACCTTTGTAAGGTGACACTGGAGGAAGACGAGCACAGGTTAATGAAGTGGGATGGTAGCAGTCGTGATGAAGATGTGGATTAACCTCATTTCACGTTTTCTAGTAGTGAATTAGACCAACGTACATGTTGTTCCTACTCCTTGCCTTTCTCTGCCTTCTCCAGAACGGTACACGGGCACGACGTTGATGTCGTAGGTAGTGAGGGGAGTGAGGCGCCTCAGCACGGTGGTAGTGGTGCCTCCGGCCGCCTTCGCCGCTAGCTGGCGACCTCCGGCCTGTGGTTTGTACGTGATACGATAGTTGACCACGTTTCCAGGTGCTGCTGACCAGGTTACTCTCATGCTCTTCTCAGTTTCTTCTGAGACTGCAATCGCTCTGCCAGCGGCCGAGACTGAAAAAATAAGATTTAAGAAAAAAAAATAAGGGGTTGATGAATGGAACGCTTCAGGGGAAACTTTATGGAAACTGTCGACTTTGGGGTTCGCTCAAACAGGTATTGAACATGTGCTTAACCACCCAGGTTGCCAATATGCATTTAGAAATGTAAGCAGCATGGCACTCCAGCCGGTAAGTAAACTAAACAGTCATACGCTCGGCTGGCTTGCAGCCTTTCATCTGAATATCTGTTCTGTTTCTAGACGAGCATGAACGCAATCCCACCCAAATATTTCAGATTTCCACCAGGATACACAGAACAGGCCCAAACGTACATGATTGATTGTGTTTCGCTGGTAGGTTCGGAGGCCAGACGTAAGATGTCACATGAGTTTGAGAAAACCCATAGTTTTCACTTTTCCATAATGTGTCCCAAAGTGTTTTTTGAGAAGAAAGGACAAGTGTGAATTGTCAGATGCGTGGAAATGCGCTTAGGAAAAATTCTGTCTCTGTTCCATTATTTTTATTGATGGAAAAAGGCAGTGAATCCAAGTTGGCCTTGTGTGGCTCGTCTCTGAAGAGACCTGAGATTTGTGTTGAGCTGGAGAACGCACCAAAGTGCTAGAGACAGTGAGCAGGGAGTGTTAAAAAAAAAAGCACATTGAACATTAATGTCTACACCTCCCCACCACCCCGGAACTATGTACAGTGTGTATCCCACTGTTCCTGCCAAAGTTCATAAACACTAATGACGGCTGGAAATCTTTCTCCCCTGAACAGGTTTTTATAGCAGTGGAATACTTTTTTCACAGGGCTTTCACTCACTGGCTTCACTCGTTTATACATGAGTGAAATCAATAAGCCAAAGACTATCTGTCAAGCATGTGCAGGTGTGGACGTGACATCACCTTTAAATGCTGTTTTAAAAACTGTATGCACGACCTTGGTGAGTGCCAGCAGCTTAACTGACCGACCAGACCGGTGAAAGATAGATTTGAGTTTGTGGAGAATTTCCCATTCGTCATTACTGCCTTAGATTGTTCGGTGACGGCCTCTTAAATATAACATGGGAATTCTAACTGACAGGAAGTCTGTGCTTGTATTTCTAAATGCTCAACGTGACTGGAAGGGAAAAAAATGTGATTAGCATTCCCTCTGTGGTGATTCCACTTTTATGGCTTTTTACTGTCACACCGCTTAAGTCCAAATACCTAACTTCACACTTTCCAGACAACCCCAAACAGAGATCTCCAAAAACTCATAAAAATTAAGTACAGACGGTGGAAAAAAAGAGGTGGAGAAAAAATGCCTACTGTCTGTCGTTTCCTCTCCGGCCAGTGGCTGGCCTTCTCCACGACCGTAACCAGCGAACACAGACACCTGATAGCGTGTCTCTGGTGTAAGGCCGTCCAGAACGGTGGCGGTCTGGCCTCCAGGTATTGTCTTTTCACCCTCCTCCTCAGAAAACAGAGATTTCCATTTGATGCGGTATTGACGGACGTTACCGGGAGCCGCAGTCCAGGACACGGCAAAACTGGTGTCAGTGACATCGCTGGTCACTAAGTCCCGGGGTGAACCGAGCTCTGGGGATGAATCGAAAGGAAAATATTATTAACATGGTCAGAACAGCATATTGTGCTCATTTATTCTGGAATAATCTGTTTTTATTTATACAAATGTCTTTTATAACAAAGTAGCAGTAGGAAAATCTCAATTTTCTTCTTCCTCAAATGTCTTCAGCCAGGTTGTAAAAATATTTCGTTCAGATATTCTGGAAGTGCAGCAGACATGTAGTGGACAAAGGAAACTAACCCCCGTCAATCACTCATGTCTCTGCTCTATCCCCTCAGGTTCTGAACACCCTGATATTCTCCCTCCATGATCATGGACTGTTGGAAAAATCTGCAAAACTCATCACAAATCAAATATCCTCAGTGCCTCTGCTGGCAGCGCTTTCATTTTCCATTCAAACAGAGGAAACCAGATCTGCCAAAGTGAGTTTGCTACCACTGCAGATGGTCCACTCTTCATTTTCTCTCCTTCAATCATTTTTTCTGAGAGGCCAACGTGAGGGAGCCAGGCACAAAAACAGGCCGGGAGGCTGCGCTAGTTTTCCCTGATGGGAAACCGACACATGGCTGGACCAAGAGGGGTGCTCGTGATTAGATGAACTCAACATCCGAGTTGCGTAGAAACACACAGTGATCCTGATCCTCTTTCGTTTCCCTGCGGCTCTACGTGCCAGCAGCACCTAATGACCAAATAATCACCGTCAAAGCACAGACGAGCGGCTGGGTGGTCTGTGTCAAACCTCATCCGTCAGACCGCACCAACTTAGAAATCAAGATGACGATCTGCTGCAGAAATGTGATGCCACTGATATCTACCACAGGTCGACTGGAAAATCATTTGGAAGTGTATCTGTCACACGAAAAGTTTATTTTAGGATCACAAATGAATCCAACAGTTCTAACGGCAAAAACCATGAGTCCACCAGTCGCTAACCATTGTCTAGTTACAGGTTTTACAGCAGAATTACAACTCTTACAAAGATGTTATAATTGCAGACAACAAAGGATGAACACATACAAACACAGCACATACAAATTGAACAGAGTTTCCAAGACTGGGGGCAAAAATGCCTCAGCTGCTCAGTGAAAATGTTTTTTTTTTTTATTAAATTCAGTAAAACATCAGCCTGATAACATCTCATCTACATCTCTGTTCCAACACCTTCCCCAGCCACACCCAACTGCATTCCAGGGCTACTGTCGAATTAAGACCTTGGACACATCCAGCTCAGTAATTTGCACAGAAGCCTCGCCCCTCTCTCTGAAAAACCCACAAATGACACATTTTAAAATCACTAGGTGGGGGGCGTGTGCCAACACAACATTCATGTCGGCAACCAGAGATTTCTCTAAAGCCTCAAAAACTTAAATGGAATGGAATGAGAAGACATCAATGCCAACTGGCAGTGAAATGTAGGAAGATATTTACCAACAAGTAATATCCCCAACCAGTGCCTAATAAGGCCAACATCCAGTACCAAGTACCACCTGAATATTGTGTACTCGTAAATAAATGAGCAGCAGACTGAAGGCAGTAAACCAATACTAAACTGCATCTTGTTATTTTTGAAAATCCTCAAATACAAACAATTTTAGCACGGGTTCATTTCATTCAGTCTTACCTGACAGTAGTCTCAGGTTCACTAATAACATTATATAAACCACTAAGATGTCTTAATTGTCTTTGTGCCAACATTTTCTTTTCATCTCTGATGTTTTAGCAAAAAAATGAACCCTGAAGCCAAAAAGATCTGGCAGCAAAACTGAAGGAAGATTCGTGCCTTATTCCATATTAGAATCAATATGCCTTTGATTCACCTGGTGTTGTGCTCATCTCCAGACAAGAAAAAAAAAAAAACATCTAGGTGGTACATGTGAAGTTACATGGAGTGCTATTTAGCTAATTGTTTATCAGGGAAATGAATATAAATGCCCCTTTGGGAGTCATGTATATGACCTCTCAATTTACGAGCTTGGGGTTTTTGTGTTCCCAACGAACCAGATCTATTCAGCCTCATATTTTGAATTTAGCCCTTTTTTTTCCTCTGCTGACTTCCACCCTTTCTCAGCCTCCGTCTGTCCTTTGTCCCACCCTTGGGGAAGACAAACAGACAGTTCTCTCTGAGGCCAGACACACACCAGCTTACACAGCTTTGAAGGTCCTCTAAGGTAACATCTTCCACATGTTGGACAAAACCTCCTTCTTCGTAAGTAAATAATTCGTCCATGTTTGTTTATAATATCCACATTTCAGAGGCTCATCTAAACATTCCCTGTGACACCTCCTCTGTCTCCTCCGGAGTCATTTCAGGATGTTTTAACTCAGTCTCCCACTCGAGGCTTCTGTGTTGGCCACTGTCCACTGCGGGCCACAAGGGATGTCTTTGTGTGAGCCACTCAATTCAGGTTCTCGCCTACATGGTCTTCACCATGGGTAACATCAAAATGAATGGCACACCAAACAATGAAATCAATGTTAAAGTATGCTGACGTCATGGCAGCTTCATGGAGCTAACTAAACAAAGTGCTTTGTCAAGGAGCGGGGGTGTGCGGCTGATGACAGCACAGAAATGACCAGTGGAAACTCACTGTGTAAGCAAAGCCAAACACTTTGGTCAACGTGGGAACCGTAGGAGAAAAAACATGAGGACGACACAGCGAAAAAATGTTCATGACTGTGGCATTCATCAGGGTCATCGGGACGAAAATAAAAGACCAAGTCACAGTGAGGTAACGAGCCACAACACTGCACGGAGACTGTATGGTTGCTCTACATACTCCCAACTTTGACAAAAAAACAAATAACACAGCAATTCTTTCACAAAGTGAAGCCCCAGAAATGAGCTTAAAGTACATCGTAAGTAACACCGTCTGCAATGAATAGTCTTCTTGTTGCTCTATTTAAAAAAAGAAGGTTTGTGGCACATAGTACCAGTGCCACATTTCTCCATAATGGTAGCATTGCAAATTGCAATCATATTAAGTGAAAACTAGAGCAGACAGGAATAACGTCCACGTCTGTTAGTCACTGATTTGAATCATTAGACAGTCTCCCAACTGCCTAGATCAAAATGAGAGACTTTCCTTTTTAAACTGCGTCTGTTTCTTATTTATGGTCTACACACTAAAACAGGAAATGCACCGACAGTTCTGTTGTTTAGATACGGTGCCACCTATATGTGCCCATCATGTGTTGACATCATGTGTTTGAAGATGACCTTAAACCTATGTATGACTATTTTTATCTTAAAATATACACCAATATATATGTAAATATAAAGGAGTCTCATTTCACCAGATTCCCATTACCATCAGCACAGACGCAGATACAGACTGCTAAAACAATTCCACCTCATACCGTAGCAATAACCACACAATAACGAATTGTACACAGCGCAGTCATGTATAAATAACATTTGCTGGTCATGTAGTCGAAACGCATTTGGCAATCACTTACAAGCAGAGTAGCACAATATATGACGTTCATTACGCAGTAAAACACCCCACACATCTCAAGAAGCAGCGTAACCTACAAATCATACGTCCCAGAAAGACCTTGATGTAAAGGTATAGGCCAGACATATGGAAGTCTGCTCCAAGCCATTCCTTCTGGTTTCTAGATTTACAAGCACACCCCCACCCACTTCCACCTCTCCACTTTTATTTGTGGCCGTCAGCTTAACCTCACATCTGTGCCAAAAATGACATCAGGTTTCTGTCTGCTCCCCTCCAACTCCAGACCATATACAAAACTAATGTATTCAACTATAGGAAATTCCACAGCTTTTACAAAGAGGGAGAGAGGTTACACTGTGTAACAGGAAGTTGTACTGAAGAACCACTAACTTCCCCGAGACAGAATGGAAGTTTCCTGTTCCCACAAAGATGCAACACGAACATCAACCTAATTTTAAAAGAATCCACTCATTTGGCTTGTAGCCCAACAAATACAAATAGTACTGTGACACACTTACCTTCTAGGGTTGTCCCAGTTCCCAGAAGAGGATCGCCTACACCAGAAGGATAGCGAGCACTGACAAACAGCTCATATTCTGTGGCTGGTTGGAGGTTCTTCAGCAAAGCCTGCGTAGTATCCCCTTTGACAGATATCTCTTTCCTCTCACCACCCTCAGAAGGTTTATAGGCAATGCGGTATTGAAGGACATTCCCTGGAGCAGCCTGCCATGCCAGTTTCATCGTCGATACGGTCTCGTCAAAGACGCGGAGATCTCGGGGAGAGCCGCGTACTGTCAAATTAAAAAAAAAGAAGAAAGAACCCCAGTCATTGAAGACCCAAAAGACTGTTTCACATTTGGTGTTCACAAATTAGTTCCAAATAAAGGATGACCGAACTAACTCACATTCCTTGGTGATACCCGTGGTCTGCATCTGTTCCCCTAGGCCAGTGGAATATTCGGCAGACACAGACACTCGGTAGGTGGTGATGGGCAAAAGCTGTGTGAGAACCGTGGTAGTCTCTGGTCCAGCAGTCTGTGTCTGCAAAATGTTTCCAGCATCGTTTTGTGGAAAGTAGGTCAGGTGATATCGGACCACTGAACCTGGAGCAGGTTCCCAAGATACCCTGAAACTGTTAGTTGTCTCCTCGGATACTTCCAGGTTCCGTACCTTGCCTTGCTCTGTAACAGGACAAATGTAACTTGTAGTCATTATACATTATCTTATTTTATCTTCTTGTTGTGTTAAAACTAAGGAACATTCCAGTACCTTCAAGTGTGGTCTCTGTTCCAGTTAATGCAAAACTGTCTCCTCTGGCGTACTGAGAAAAGACATTGACCTCATAGGCTGTGAGGGGGTAAAGGTGGGGCAGAACAGCAGTAGTGGTATCACCAGGTACTGCCATGGAAATGTAGTCTCCCGTGACATCCTCAGCCTTACGGAAACGCAGCAGATAAGACAGGACCTCAGTAGTAGGTGGGACCCATGAAGCACGGAAGCTTCTAGAGGTAATTTCAGAAAACGTCAAGTCACTGGGTGGAAGCAGACCTGAAATGCAAAATTTGCAATGTCTTAGTGAGAGGACTTTGGTTACACAGTGGTTTCTTATATGTTTACGCTTTGGTTCGTCTCTTTTTTCGTGGCTGTGTGGATTTTTGTGGCAAATTTGTGGACGTGGCAAAGGTACAAAAATTACACATCTTGTGGTCATTAAACAACATCATCTGGTCTACGTGGCGTCTGAGAAGAGAGATCAAGTCAAGATAACTCTTTATATTTACTGTTGTTTTTCATCTGCAAATGTTAACAAATGGTGTGATCGTCATTATTTACCAAGCACGTGTGTGGTTTGTGGTGCGTTTACTTTCAGTGAGTTGATTAAATACTTCTTTTGGCTTGATGTGACAGCAGTTTATGAAGTATTATAATATGCTGTTTTGTTGGGTCCGATCCAACAACACATAGTCAAATAACTTCTCCAACATAACACTTTGTTGGACCACCCAGAGGATTGTAACATACCTTAAGCAATCTTACAAAAAGACGCCATTAGGTGTTTTTAACATTATGTGGTTATATCTAGAGGTAATAAATCTATTTTCCAACTTACTTTTCTTTATGATGTTAAGTAACTCCTGTTCAATTCTCAAACAGATGGACTGAGTCAGCTCCTTGGAAATCCTCTGGAAGGCATCGAAATCCTCCACCTCGTACACATGGGTGTCTGATGGAGGATTAGCAATGGCCTCCAACTCAGACCTCACCGCATCTTTAACACCAACAGCAAAGATCTCCACATCGACGTTCCTCAGTCTGGTCGCTGCGTCCTTAAAAGAGTCAGATGACTTTCCGTCTGTAATCAGGACCATGACACGGGGGACGTTTTGTCTGGCTCCACGAGAAGCAACAAAGATCTTCTCCCTAACGTAGGTCATGGCTTTGCCAGTGTTGGTGGAGCCGCCGCGGTAGGGGAAGCTGCGCACAGCTTTGACAACAGCATTGATATCATGGTGGGTGTTGAGGGCAAACTCAGTGTGTGGGTCACGACTGTACTGGACCAAGCTGATTTGGACCTTATCTGCGGCGATGTCAAAAGAATTAACCAGAACCTCCAAGAAGGCACGGACTTTGGCAAAGTTTTGTAATCCAATGCTGTAGGAGCCGTCTACAAGTAGGACCACATCAGCCTGAACGTCCACTCCCAGAGAGCACTCTAGGAAACAAAACAAACCACGGGTTAAAGGGGCGAGGTGATGAATGAAGGACCTCGAGTGTACCTGACCTGAATAATGAGTCTTCTGGCAAAACCAATTAATCATACCTGTTGTCACCTTGACTGGCTGGGTTTTCTCCATTGCTATGATGGGTTCACTGGGAGTCAGACCTTTGAGTGCGTACAAATTGATTTCATACTCCGTCTCGGGTGAAAGGTCACGGATGTTGATGGATGTCTGAGTGGGTCCTATGTACAGCTCTTGGCGTTTCATTCCAGGTAGCATGGGAATCAGGGTGAGCTTGTACCCCGTGACCTCGCCCACAGAAGGATCCCATGTCACTCTCATTGACTTTGAGGCAATTTCTGTGACCTGCAGGTTAGACGCCGGCTCCACCACTGGGGAAAAAAGTCACAAGAAAGTGGAAAGGAGATGTTGGTTTAGAGAACTGAAGAGACTGCTATACGGGCATTAGGCCGTGTGGTATATGGAGGTTAGACGCCGGCTCCACCACTGGGGGAAAAGGTCACAAGAAAGCGGAAAGGAGATGTGGGTTTAGAGAACTGAAGCCTGTACTGCTATATGGGCATTAGGCCGTGTGGTATATGATACAAGATGAGGTGACCTACTTTCTTCTCCGCTGACCAGAGAGCTGAGCTGCTCATCGACACCAGAACACACTTCTCTTATGATCCTTTTCTGAACTTCCTGGATCACGTCAAAGTTGGGGACATTGTAGACGTGTTTGTTATAAGGTGTGGAGGCTATTTCCTTTAGCTCATCCTCATCGGCTCCTTTGATACCTGTTGTGAAAAGTACTATTAACTCATTTTCTTCTTCATTTTGTTTTTATCATTTTTTACTTTAACATCTGTACCACAGATGTCAGTCACTGTTTTTGTGAATACCATGAGATCTAAAAACAGTAGCAGGTCAAAAATCTCACAAGGAACAATCAGTGGAAAATCCAGAGCCGTCCAAGCAGAGACAGAATTTCACATGGTAGAGCACAGCTCAAGAAAACACTGAATAATAAACCATACCTAGGACAAATATTTCCACTCCGATGTTCCTAAGTCTTTTCGCATGCTCTTCCACTGGATCCTGGGATTTTCCATCAGTGATGATCATGGCTACCTTTGGAAAATGTTTTCTGGAGCCGCCTGCCTCCGTGAAGATGTTTTTCAGCAGGTGATCTATGGCATCGCCTACAGACAAAAACGCATTGTTTTATTTTGTATGTCAACACATTGAGCCTTTTCCACATATTCAAAGTTTTACGTTTGTCAATATCCATCTGTTTGACTAACTCCTTACCAGTCATGGTGTTTCCTCCCTTGTATGGCAGAAGGTTGATGGCTTGGAGCAGGTCTCCTCTTCTGGTGTAGTGGGTCAAGGGGAACTCTGTACGTGTATCTGTGCTGTACTGAACCACAGCCACCCGCGTCTTGTCGGTGCCAATGTCAAAAGCTCCGGCCAAGGAGCTAATAAAACTGCGGATGTGCTTGAAGTTTTCTCTGCCCACGCTCCATGAACCGTCCACCAGAAAAACCAGATCTGCTATTGCACTGACCGAACACTCTGCAGAGAGAGATGGATGGATCCAATAAAATTTAAATGGTCAAGTTACTGTATATTCCGCATTTCTTCTAACTCTTGAGGAGTGCTAATAACTTTAACACTCAAAAGGTTTATTTGACTCAAATATAACCTACAAAAATCTATAGCAGCAACACGTCAGTCTTGGAAAAATATTTGTAGAAGAAGCTGATTCTTCTTTTTCTTGTTTTTGAAAGATTTCAACCAATGACAGTTTGTTGGACTCCAACATCAAAGGCTTCA